AGATAGGTACATCAGGCCTTTACTATATACTAGTGGTCTGTATTATTTTTATTCATAATTCAACTTAATATAATATAGAATGGGTGTAGGGATTCTGGAGCTGAATTGATTGATTGATTGGGGATTTGGGGCGCGTCAACTGCTAAGGTCATTCGTCCTGTAAGTGTAGGTTCCTTTTTCTACCTTGCGTGCGGGCTGTGTTTTTTTGTGGCTACCGCTTAGCATTTTTGCTCTGACATGTTTTCACCGCAGGAGCTCGCGGTGATGTTCTACAGCTGGATGGAGAGATCCTGCGCCGAGGTACATCGGCTTGCAGGGATTTTCGCCTACCAGGTGCGTATCTCCCAGCAGAGGGGAACCGTCCCAGTCCGGGCAAGCTCTAAGCCCAGACTGGCCTCTCGGCAAGTGTGATAATGTAGTGAGTGTAGGTGTGTGTGAGTAAGGGGTGAGAATAGGAAACGGAAGAGGAAGGAAAGATCGCGCGTGGTCCGTGTGCCGTTTATTAGGGCATTGCTCCGGCATTTACCCGGTGATTACCGGAGAAGCCACTGAAAACTACCTATCAGCCGCCGCTAGAATTCTCCTCCATGCGGCGGCTGAACACGACCCTGCTGTATAGCTAGTGTCGAAAATTCTCCCGGCCAGAGGCACTACAGGGTTCTCAGAAGAGCTAAATCTCCAAAAACATATTTGAAGGTTCAAAAAGATATTTTCCACATTACTGCGTAATAATCAGAAGTCTCATGATGCCTTCAGAATGTTGTCCTGCAAGTTCCTTAACATGTTCCCACGTAGTTTGCACGTCTTCCCAAATGTCCCCCCTCTTCATCCATATTTTTTCTTGCATATTTTCCCAGATGGTTTTCGCATACTTCTCTCATATTTTCTCTTTGATATCCGGCATACCTTCCGATTCTTCACGTTCCCCACATGATCCCCCGCACGTGTTTAATGCATGTTTCACTGCATGTTCTCCCGTATGCTCCACTTCTAAGGATGAATCTATAAGTCGACTTCTGTACTGATTTTTTAATAAATTTCATAGAAGAGAACATGAATTCGTGCTCGAAAATATTTTTTAGACTAAATTAGAAGTCGTTTTTAGACTAAATTATGTTAAGTTTGGGGAATTTTGCTCTAGTGAGACGTTTTCAAAAATGTGATATTTTTTCTTGTTTGGTCTGTAGGAACGTTTCAGCTTCTAAATCATATAGCTCAAGTTGTAGGTGTGGATTTTGTTCGACGAAACCGCTCTTATTTCCTCTTCAATATTAATTCTTTATCCACATCATTTGAACATTTTGCCTCATTTATTCAAAAAGCTTTCGCGAACCGCAAAACATGCCTCCCAGGTATAACGTCAATATTAATTAAGTTCCTTCAGTTCGCTTTCCCTATTGACAGAATATTTCGAGCAATTATGGTACAGAATCTATATTGGCGACCTGTAATATGACAATAATGATCAATTTAGATTTAGATTTATTCAGTCAAAAAACATTAAAAACTGTATGTGACGTAGGAGGGAAAAGAGTTTCTGCGCACGTTTTCTTGAGTTCCAGAATCCCTTCCCGTCATTTTAACTATAAATGGTTGAAAGGTGAGTAAAAGTTTAAAATAAATAAATAAATAAATAAATAAATAAATAAATAAATAAATAAATAAATAAATAAATAAATTCTGATAGTGAGCTGTTGATACTGACTCTTAATGAACGTGATTTCTACGACGTGTGTTGTAATTATAAATATCATTGCATAAAAATATGTTCCTACTGTTAAGTCACTTTTGACAAAAATTACAGATTCGTAGATAAATACGCAATTCAACGGTAAGATTTCAAGCTCAATAAAGAGATGCTTGCAGGAATCACGCGGATGGCATTTTTCATTATTCGTATAATTTTCTTTAGCAATCTAAAAGTGTGGGTACTACATGATGAGCTATCCCAGAATATTATGCCATATCTCAGGCGGGAATACACATTTTCAAAATACACGCAACGAACTGCATGAAGGCTGACAGAATTTGAAAGAATTCTCAATGCGTAACATTATGAACTTAATTTAGAGAAAATTCTGTTATATGTACATTCCATTTCAGGCTTGACTGACTTGAGAGACCTAGAAATTTTGTTACCTTAACATCATCTGATTGCATAGTGTTCATTTTGAATGGAGCATGAGATTTCTGATTTGAAATGCAAAAATACATTGAAACTGTTTTTTGTTAACTATTAATTTGTTATTACAAAACCAATTTGAAACTTCTGTAATCGTACAATTTATTGTTTCTTTTTTACAAATAACATTCGTATCATCGGCAAACTGAAACGTTCTTCCGTTTTTAATAGACGAGGGCATATCGTTTACGTATAACAGAGAGAGAATAGAACCTAAGATCGAACTTTGCGGGACCCCATATTCAATTGGTAAAGATTTGGAAAGATAAGTAAATAATGTTCTTTCGTGCCAGTACGGTATTTCTACTCTTTGAAATCGATGTATAAGGTACTAGGTTATCCAATTTAGAGCGATACCACGAATTCCACCAGAAGGTAATTTTAAAATTTTAAATAATAAAATTTCCATTCGCGTATAGAAAAGTCTCTCTAATATTTTTGAGAAACCTGACAAAAGAGAAATTGGCCGGTAATTCTGAATTTCATTTTTGTTCCCTTTTTTAAAATGTGGCTTAGTTTTTGTTGTTTTGAATATATCTGGAAATATTCCTGTGCATAAAGAAGCATTGAAAATGTAGTAAAAGGGGGTATAAAGGCAGGTACACAAATTTTCAATACACAATCTGGAAATTCATCTAAACCAGATGAATATTTATTTTTTAGTTTACTCACTATTCTCATGATTTCGTTACAAGAAGTTTCGGAAATAAATATCGTGTCGAAAGTTTATTGAGAAGGGAATGGTGTTGAATTTTGTGGTTTTAGTCCCTTCGTGAGTTCAGCCGCAATTGTAGAAAAATAAATGTTGGTTAAAGAAATTTGCCACTTTATCCGGATTACTGGCTTCTCTTTCATTATCCTTTAAAACAACATTCTCTACTAAGTAACGAGGTGCTGTGGTCCTATTTTTTACGGTATTCCACATTGCTTTAATTTTTTTTACTAGCGTTCCAGATATTCTGATTGTTTTTCATTATTATTAATGTAATGTATTATATTAAATGTACGTACCGAATATTGTATTTTTCATCGCTTTGATTTATACCGTGTTTCTGAAACTACATATACAACTTATGCGATTTAGGTAATAAATATATTAAATGATGTGTAAGCTGTTCAAAGGATTGACTGCCCCGGCCGGGCAACATAGATACAAGTTTAACTACTTGCATGATGAAACATGAATATAACACGGACGTATCTCGAAATGCTGTGTGTGACAGCTTGAAAGGGATGGGATAGTTCAGACGTTGTCTAGGCAGAGTCTCTGACCCGGAATTCCTAGGGTTTGATTCTCAATGGTGACAGATTTTCGGCACTTAGCTACAGAGCTAGGTTGATTTCATCCGCCTCTGGGGGATTCTAGTGACCGACTGCTGTGATTGATAGTTTCCCTTGGTTTCTCCAATCAGTACCAGGTGAATGCTGAGTACTGATAAGTACCTTAACAAACGGACCAAGGACCGCAAGCGATATTTTTTTCCACATGCTTGACCCCTTTAATTCCCTTACACACACATTTGCATGCAGTACACTGCCACAGCTAATTTCAATATCAATGTGGAACTTTGAACTTGTCCCGTCTGGAGCAGTACTCTGTTGGAGAAGATATCTGGCGGTCCACAACTGACACGCCTCAATGCAGGTCGAATCTTTCGGCGTCGAATCTTTCCTTCGAGGAATTAACACTGCCACTTCCCGGTAAAACTTGTACTACACTGTCAGAACTAAATATCAGATAAATGCTGTTTATCTGAATGTAACGTATAAAATTAAATTCCAACGCAACAAAATTTAATTACGCACTGGCCTGTTTAATAATTTATAATTAAGAATTAATTGAAAGCAAAGTTAAAAATAATAAGAAAACTAACACTAGTGAACCCGAAAGCCTAAGCCCCCTAGGTCATCTTAAAGTGTCAGTTCTCGCCGAAGAAGGGTACGGGAAGAAAGGGGAGGCTGAACCCTCATGGCGCATGCGTTGAACTCCTCTCTATGTGCGAAGTATGAGGAAAGACGCTAAGAAATACCACGGCATTGTCGGGAGATAATCTGCCCAATGATGGTAGAAAATACAATGTTTAGTTGGTTCGTACGCATAAACTGACAGTGCAAACTTCAGTGTTTTTATATTTTAATTGTTACAAAATTGTGATTACCGTGCTTTTTCATTCACAAACAAAACATCGAGCGCAAAACATCAATGTTAAATAGCATCGGCTTTAATATATAGATGTTTGAAAATATCGATGTTTCTACAAATACCGATGTTTCGAAATCTTTGACATCGATGTTGCATCCGTAATAAATATTTGATGCTCCCGGAAATAATATAATCAAATAGTTCAGACAGGACGAATTCTCTGCTGTCTGGCGAGGAATGGTAGCGAACAAATTTTCCGATCAGTAGTTATCCGTGGTTTCTCACCATTCAACACCAGGAGAATGCCGGAGTACCCTAACAAACGGACGTTCTTTCATTCCTCATCTTTGTCCTTTCCTCACCTCTTACCTACACATACTTTCACTCACATGCACTACAAGACCACACATAGGAGATCAGTCGGGAGCTTAGAGCTTGTTCCGGCTGGGGTGGGAGATACCTGGTTGGGGAAAATCCCCGCAAGTCGATCTATGTCGGCGTCGGATCTCGTCACCCAGCGGGGGAAGACAGCCACTTCCCGCGATAAAACATTCTCTAAACTTATGGGACTAATGACCGTGGCAGTTGACGCGCCCGGAATAACGAATCAACCAATGAATCAACCGGGGGGCAATCATCGAACCAAGCAACGAGTGTGCGAGGGCGTGGTCGTACCTGGACCATATCCAAGTAGAGGCCGGCGCCCACCATGCCCAGGCCAGCCACGACGAAGGGCCCGACCACCTGGCAGCCGACGCTCAGGTGCGTCTCGGCGACGGCGGGCGGGCCAGCAGCGGGCGGCGGGGCGTCCGGCGAGCCGGGCCGCGACGCCAGGTACACCACCACGTCAGGCAGCGCGATGTCCCCGCCGGCGGCGGCGGCGGCGGCGTTGGCGGCTGGCGGCGCGGACGCCCGCGGAGTGGCGGTGGCGGAGGCGGGGGCTGCGGCCGCGGTCGGTTTCTCCATTACTTACGTGGATTCTCCTCGGGGTCACATTTGACCCCAAGCGTCATACCCATTTTACTGGTATTTCATGCACGGGTGTTATTTGGAATTATGAATTGAGAAAATGATGCTATTTTTGGATTTATTTACTGTATCGTACTATGAAACAAAGAATAATATTATTTCCAGGAAAAATATTCTAGCACACTAAGATGATACATTTTTTGTATGAATAGAGTAAAATACCCTAACAAAGGTGGCATATGTTCGATATTCAGGGTTAAATTTCGAAAGTATGGATTATTTTCGGCGTCTTCCCACAACTACAAAATTGAAGATAGAGATTTTTCCTTTAAATGAAATTTGTTGTCTATACTTAGTTCTTTCATTAAGGTCCTGTACATTTTTGAAACTTTGAGTAGTTTTCGCGCAATATTGCGTGCAATATTTGCATTGTTTCAAATTACAAAAACAAGATTTTCTGAGAAACGGCTCCATATTTTTCATTAAAATGTTACTAGGAATAGTACTAATGCACTCTGTAAGATGACATAAATGCCACATTGCTCTATTCTTTTGTTTTTTTCAAAAATTACAAAAATGTAATTTTTTATGTCTCTCACATCGTTAATATTTACATTAGTAGCAATTTGTTAACATTATTGAATTTATGACCCATTCTTTTGCGAGCTGCCACACAAAGTTCTTCACATTTTTTCATTTTTTCGATTTCTTAATAGTAGAATCGAATTATTACTTTCAGAATATTAAAAAGGGGTAAAATCTAATCTAAATGGCATTAAGCACTGCTGTAAATGCGAAATTTGAAGCACTTTTGGCAGAAATTTTTTATTGTTTTCTAGGAACTTCATTTAAAGTCAAGGTACTTTAACTCACAAATGCAATAGTTGTACAAATCGCAAAAAATATTTGTGTAATTTTTAAAAACAAAAGAATACAGTAAAATGAACTTTGTGTAATTTTTCACAATACATTTAGCACTACCCGTTAGAAACGTTTGAAGACAAAATTTGAAGCCATTTTTGAGAAAAGGGCGTTTGAGCGTTTCTGAAAATGTACAATTTTAAGCTCATTATTAAGTCATCATTAAGGTACTGTTGAGTTTTCGGGAAACTTTATATGACAAAACTTAAAACACATGTACTCATTAATACAATATTGTTAACAAATCGCTACTAATGTAAATACTAACGACGTGAGAGAAGTAAAAAAAAACATTTTTGTATTTTTTTGAAAAAAAAGTAAGAATAGAGCAGTGTGGCGCTTATGTAATCTTATCGAGTACATGTAGCACTATCATTATCGGTTTAAGGAAAAATTCGAAGCCGTTTTTGAGAAAATCTTGTTTTTGTAATTTTTTAAAATTGGAAATAATGCACGCAAAAACTACTAAAACTGTCAAAAAATGTACGTATCCTTAATGAAAGAACTAACTTTAGACAACAAATTTCATTTAAAGGAAAAATCTCTATCTTCAATTTTGTAGTTGTAGAATGACACCGAAAAAAATCAAAATTTTGTAATTTTCGAAAATTCAGAGTTAACCGTGAAAATCGGACCCATACAACCTTTATGAGTTTATTTTACTCTATTTTTACATGAAATGTAAAGAAAACATTTGTAGCGATTTTTGAGTAAATTTGAAAATGTCCTGGCTGTCAGGTAAAGTACCCCCAAATTTTGAAGAATTTGTTTCAAAATCGTAGCGCCTCGAGTCGAGCCGGGTTGTCCGGGGAATATTCATTTTGGAAGAAATCGTACTTATGACTTTGGCGCTAGTGGTGTTCACAGCGGACGGACGTGAAAAAACACTTTTTTGGTATAGCCTCAAATGGTGCTTGGTGAGAATGAAGATTAGGGATGTACAGATTGGGCCAGTTTTTACGGTAGGGACGATAAGTCATGTATCTGTCGATTAAGGCATTAACATTTATTGAAATTATTATGTGAACATGAGATACTCTTAGAACCCCAGCCTTTTTATTTATTACATGAAACATACCCATTTAGGGCCAGATTAATATCTCGAGGGGTTCTATGCATGACGCAACTGTGGGGCTTTCTAATGCAGTTCAAGTATTAAATATATGTAATCAGTATGAAAATGAAAATAAACCATAACCTTTGCAATTTCAAGTTCGTGTAAAAATAATTTGCCTGATTTAACTAACAGAGCCCTCAAGTGGATTATAGACAGCATGCTAGCTTTCCGTTCGGTCCCGAGTTCGATTCTCGGCCGGGGCAAAAATGAAGCTTAGCTTTCTAATACAAAGCGTCCCAGTTTAAATAGCTGTGTTAATGTATATATGTGTGTTGAAAGAAAGCTTAGACAGGCCAAGTAAGCTAGGTACGCTGATTGTAATACATCATGCTCACCACATGTGTTCCCTTTACTCAAGTCGTGGATAATAAATAAAAACAGGGACCAGGCCTGGGAACAGGGCTAGCTGACAAAAGTCGTATTAATCTGACTCTAAAATGCCAAATACACACATGTATACATTAACTAATTTAAAATCGTATTTAAAACTAATTGTAGACCCATTTTCAGCGGGGGCTCTTAGTGTGTCCTTAGTCTGCTTAGATATTAATCCACCCCTGTGATGTTAGTCTTGAATTTTAAGCCTACCAACAACAACTTAATAACTTTTTTTAAATATTTGTCTGCTGTTATTTCAATATATTATATATTTTATTTTTATTCCCTTGTTATATTAGGAAGTCATTTATACTTTTAGTACACTTTGTTTGGTACATGAAGTTTAGATTATATTTTACATTGATACAATTTGTTTTTCACTCACTAATATTGCAAAGTCGGCAAATTTAATAAAATGAGTTTAATTTATACGCAGTGCATAAGTAACTGTAGTGTACTACAAGTATAAATGACTGTGTAATATAAGTTTATAATAAGTGTTTTGTAGTGCGGTGAAGTGAAGTGTGGTGAAGTGGAGTGCTATGAAAGATTGCACGGTGAAATGTTCACTTTAATTTGTAAAGTTTATAGATTTTGTAAAGTTGTTAAGTTCAGTAATGCTAAGTTAGTGTATTCTGCCACCAAGTTCTCAAACTTAATTGCAGAATTATAAATAAATCAAATATAACAAGGGACTAATAAATTATATGAACTAAATAAACCGCTAAACCACATGCATAACCTGCTCCCCGACAGCCTCCGGTACGTACCGACGACGCAGGAGCCGGCGGGGGCGGGGGCTGCGGCGCCAGCGGCGGTAGGCGTCCCGCCGGCGGGGGCGGCGGCGGCGGCGGAGGCGGCGGACGCGCCGGCGGACGCGCCAGCGAGCGAGGCCCCGGTCGCCGCGTGTAGGTCAGTGTGCTCCGCCATCGGCAGCTCCCCCATGTCGACGTCCTGGGCCACCTTGCCGCCCTCATCTGCGCCAGAAGGACACGCGCTCGCCGCATGCTCGCCGCACGCTCGCCGCAACAGCCCACCCACTCCTGCGGCGGCGATTGCGTATCGAACTGTTATTCCCAAGTTGGCGTGTTCAAACCCGATCGAAGCCGTGGATGTTTTAAGGGCGAATGAATCCTTCGTACACCCTCCTTCGGAGGGGAAGTAAAGCCGGCTGTCCTATGTTAGTAGATTTACTTGCATGTCAAAGACCCTCAAGCCTAAATGACGCCTCTGAGCTAAATTCATATCGCCTGTTTCTCGCCTAAGAAATACCTCCTTTCTGTGCTAGTTGCTGAAAGGAGCGTAGCGAAATTTGCGTGGTCAGACGGAAGAGCGGGCCTGATGGCCCGAGTCTCGCCACGTAAAATAAGGCATCAATTCAATTAACTCCCTAGCTCGCTTGCGTTAGCTGGATGGCTCAGTCGCATTCCGTTGCTATCGAGGGGCTTATTGGGCTCCGGGGAGATGTTCCACATGTACGCGTACGCGTCCAAGGTCGTCTTCGAACAATATTTGAGGAGGGAGGTGTTTAATGAAATTGATAGGTTTCTTTTAAATTGAAGATATTGATGATATTTTTTTAGTTTCCGAATGTTGATTCCTCTTGTCTTCTATATATGCTATGGATTTGGATCTATTTTAGGGTTTGGTTGAATAATGAGTGAAAACCATAAACACGTTAAGACAACCTTTCGGACTTTTATTGAGTTTTTGTCAAAGCTGGGAATTCATTGCTATTATAACGTAAGGTTTATCTCACTTATAGCACATATATTAGTATTTAAATTACCGTAATGTGTGATTATTTTGTTACGAATTTGTAGATTTCTCTACTCTAGCAGGTCATTTTTAATTTTAAGGTCAAAAGACTTATTGCAAAATTAATTAGATTGCTGGCGTGGTAGATACCTTCTAATATTTAAGTATGGTAAATAAAAGATGTTGTCTGGTATCAACAATTGTTCCAAAATGGAGGTCACTTCCTTTTCTAAACACTGATATATTGTAAGCATCCGAATCTTTAGTAACTACAGACAAATGTAGGTTACGTGTCGTAACGTTCCCTCACCTTCTGGGACAACATCGAGAAAAATTTTATTTCGCCCTCAAATTCACGGAGAAAATTAATGTCACAAAGTTAGCATACATTACCTTTGCAAATAATGTACAATGTTAGTTTGCGTATACATTAACAAAATATTTATTCATTAACAAAATATTCAAAATATTTGGTTTACGTGATGGCAAAGTCTCAAGTTTGCATTTTGGCAGGGGCACACCCGTATGGATGATTCGGTTACAATATTTGGTATGTAATACATTTCTAATTGCGAACAGCCCTCCGTGTCCCGCCGGCTCCAGAGGATCAGTGGCGCGCAAGACATTGGTTTCAGAGTGTGATATTCCATCCGGAAGAGACATCTCCACTTCATTTTCTTTGGCTTCATATCGCTCATCATGTACGAGTATCTGTTGGGT